ACTGTCAAACTGTACTGGTCAAGTGTTAACCGCGCATAAAGCTCTTATCCTTTATTACTGAGCAGAATTGAGTTTAATCTCGTAAAATTCAGGACATAGACGTAGAATTATAATCTGAAATTATCCTTTATTACCTGTAGCCCAATCAGATAGTTCGTTAGTAAGAACACTAGCGATCATTGGTTGACCGTCGTTAAACTCTATACCGGCTTTGAGCCAGTGCTTTTCGTCTGAATATATCATAACACCTGCTTGGTCATACAGCTCTTCAAAATTTGCTTCTACACACACCTGAAATAATCTTACTAATATTATAAATGCGAAAGTTTAGATGAATGGATGGATGTATGTTAGAGTTTGTATTCTAAATAGCTGAACGGATCTGTAACAAATTTGGCATAGATGTAGATCATGCTCAGGAAGAACACGTAGACTACTTTTATTCCTTTAATTACACGCGGACGGACTCCCGGGCAAAAGCTAGTATCCAAATAAAACTTTATGGTTTTTTTTGGTTGCGGTTTTTTTCTTCTGTTTACAGATTACCGGTAATGTGAAGGTAGTATTAAAGCAAGTTAACCACAGCACTATTCACTTTGTGGACTTCATCTGCAAACCAGTGAGTGCAAATAAAACTGATGTGTAGGTTTTTTAATGTGTTTTTGTCTTGTAAATCACTATCATCTTGTTACCTGCATTGTAAAATTTTCCTTAATATCGATCCCAAATAAATGGCCTGAATTGTGATTAAAATTGTAATAAGTTTCTTGCCAAAAATCACTTTCATAATTGGTTGAGACTTCTAATGTATTATTTGTTACTTTCCATTTTCTTGGCTCGTTTAGCCACGAAAAATCTTTAAAAGTGAATTTTGTAAAAGACATAATGGTTTAACATAAAGTAAATATAAATAATAATGTTAAAATAACTTATCACCACTTACAGATAGCGGCAAAGTTACAAACTACTTTATTATTACCATTGCAAAAAACTTTGTTTCATTTTTTTCTTTTCCTTAGATGCCCTTTAAATTATCCATTACCACAATTAAAACATTAATCAAGTTAATAATAATATTAAATAGTCAACGACTAATCTGAAATATTCGCTGTAAACTCTGCAAATAATTGAAGGCAAAATAAAACTTGGGTCGTTGCAGCAGCGCAGTAAATTAGTAAAGTGAACGTTTATTATCTAAAACCTAATAAGAAACTTGTAAAATAAATAATTTTATTATTCGTAATTCTCAAAGTAAGTTTATCGGTTTTAATTTTTCTTATAAACGTAAAACCGATTTACGGTTTTTGGGCATGTCACATCATTGTCACATCCCAAGCCGTTTCGACGATTTAAAACAAAATGTCTTCATTTCCGGCGACGGCAACACGACGCGGGCGCGATGCACGGCGTCAGTTTATGAAAAAAACAAAATTTATTTTTGTTTTTAGATAGTACTAAATAGTGTTAAATCAATTGATTCTATTCTTTAATATTTTCTCCCGAAATGGGCAAGCCTGGTAAGTCATACTTTAATTCTAATTACTTGAGTCAATGATTGCCGCGTGGTTTTAATTTCGCCGTGTTTGTTATATTTCTTACTAAACCATATTATAAACTGATTCTAAATGTGTTTTAACTAATTTAAAGTAATTAAAGTGCTTGTCTTACGAATATCGCACAAAAATTTTATGAAATCATAACCTCTTCAATGTTCGTTTTTAGGTTATGTTTTAGGTTTGCAACATGATTCAAACAAACGTTTGTTACAATTTTGCTTAGAAGTAATATGTTTTTTAATTAAATTTATGTATATTTGATAAGATTTTCTTAGGTTAATTCATTCCTAGGTTATGTTTGGCACACGTGTGTCAGGCACGTGTTTGTGACATTAACAAATTTTTGAAACAAATTATTTTTGTTAGTTGTTACTATAAATAGGGATTAAATTGATTTAAAACCCATTCATTTATGGTACTAATTAATACTTCAATCATAACTAGAACATAGTAGCTAAAGTCACAGATAACCTAATAATTTCAAAGCAAAAAAACGTAGACATTACAAACACGTTGGTATATCCCTGCACGTGGTAATTTACATATTGAATTCTGTTAAATATTGCTTTTACTTGTTGATTTATAGCAAAGTAATCATGTGTGAAGTCAAGCTAAGTTTATGTAGGGACCGAGTCTTAGTGGGGATCTACTTTAAGCTGATATTATTTGCAGATTTCAACAGTCCTCGTGGCGGAGGTCGCGGAGGCGGCGGCTTCAGAGGTGGTAGAGGCGGCGGCGGAGGTCGCGGGGGCTTCGGCGGACGTGGAGGTGGAGGAGGCGGCAAGTTTGAAAAGCGCGGCGGAGGTGGAGGCAGGGGCTTTGGTGGCCGCGGAGGAGGAGGTAATATAGGATTTTATAGCTAATTGTCCCGTTAAGTAAAAAGGTGTTATTAAATGCAAAGCAATTATACAGCAATTAACAGTATTGACTGACTAGAAATTTAAAAAACTGCCACTAAGCTAATATAATTAGTTGTGCTCAACTGGCATAGTGAGACCATACAGTCTATGCCTGGCTAGTGCCAATGACCAACTGTACTGGTTAAAGGTAAACTGGGCTAAATCCATACAGGCTATGATTTTAACTTATTTGTTACTTTTAAGATGCCTAAAAAGATCACTTTTGTACACAATATTGTGGTATTTAATTAATATAGTTATTGTATAAAATGATGATTGTGGTCCCTCTAATCTAGACCTATCCATGAAGACTAGATCCACATACCCACTTCTGATTACCACAATATAGAACTTTACCTTAGTATTGTTATTATAAGTTACTAAGCATAGATAAATGTAGGTCGTGGACGGGGAGGTGCAGGCAGGGGTAGAGGAGGAGGTGGATTCAAAGGAGGGAAGCAAGTTATTATTGAACCACACAGGTATGTAAAAATTAATTTTACAACTGACACTATTATTTGTATTTTTGTATGTATTGATATAACTCAAAGGCTGGGCCGATTTAAAACAAATCTATCACCATTAAAAAGCTATCTTATCAGTGAGTAACGTAGTCGATATCTTTTAATTTCACGTGGACGAAATCGCGAGCAAAACCTAGTGTAATATATATTTACGTTTCCATTAAATTAGATTAGCTTATGAAAAAAAACATAGACAAATTGAGTACCTCCTTTTGGGAAATGAGTCAATAAAGTTATTTAAACAAAATGATGTAATCAAATAAACTTTCGTTCTTCTGAAAGCGAACGCTTGAAGCTACACATGTTGTTCTGATAACATAAAAACTTAATTATATTGTACATAAAATTTATATTTCACTAACATAAATATACATTTACAGACATCCAGGCGTGTTTATAGCGAGAGGGAAAGAAGATGCGTTAGTAACACAGAATTTAGTCCCAGGCTCAGAAGTTTACGGAGAAAAGAGAATATCTGTAGAGGTTTGTAAGATTTTTAACTAATTTCAATAGAAAAGTTTATCTTACTAATATTATAAATGCGAAAGTTTAGATGGATGGATGTTTGTTAGAGCTTGCAGCCCAAATAGCTGAATGGATCTTGCTGAAATTTGGTATACATGTAGAAAATAGTTGGGAAGTACACATGGACAGCACTTTTGTTTTTTTTTAATTCCAAGCGGATGGAGTCCCGGGCGAAAGCTCGTATTAATATAAAGAGGAAATATTTGTATTTTTGTATGTATTGAAATAAACTACTGGGGGACTTTAATAATTCTTTTACCATCAGAAAGGATATTTATCTGTGGAATAAAAAAATTATACTGTGGTTTAGTCTCATTCAGACATAAGTTTCATCAAGATTCATTCAGCAGTGGTCTACAAACATCCATCTAAACTTTCGCATTTATATTAGTAAGATTTGGGTATTCTAAATGATGATTGTGGTCCCTCTAATCTAGACCTATCCATGAAGACTAGATCCACATACCCACTTCTGATACAAACCTTAACCTATCCATAACCTATATAATTAAATACCTCGTCTACAGAATGCATTTATTTTCAGAATGAAGGTGAGAAAATTGAATACAGAGTATGGAATCCATTCAGATCTAAGTTAGCTGCGGCTATAATGGGTGGAGTGGATGCTATACATATGCCTCCAGGCTCCAGGGTCTTGTACCTCGGAGCGGCCAGCGGGACCACAGTCAGTCATGTTTCGGATGTAGTCGGACCGGTAAGTTAACTATTTATGTGTTTTTAAAGGTTTTATAGGTTTTTTAACAATATTTTAGTGTCACCGACTCACTAACAAAGGTTTTTGAGATAAATTAGTTGTTTATTGTAGAAACTTGCATTCCAGAAATAATAGTATGTTCATTTTTCATGCATATTGATTTGGCGTTTTTAACTATTTTTTTTTTCAACTAGTTAATCTACTACTACGACGACTTATTCATAGATTTGGTAGTCTCTGGTGACGAAAAATACGATCAGTCATTTTAATGGATTATTTTAAATTTAACGAATTGCATGAAAAAGATTTAAACTGATTGGGATCAATGGTGTTTTAACTTAGTTTGTTGAAACTACACCCTTTTTTATATCAAGTGGTATTTTTATTTAATCTTGTTAAATCAAATAGAGTAGCATTAGAAACACTTTTAACCAACTTCCATAAAGGAATAGGTTCCAAATTTGTCTGTATGTTTTTTTTTAAAGTAAAAATGATATCACACTTTATAATTAAATTTTAGCATAATTTATAAGTTAAAAAATCAAACAGAAAAAATGGGATAAAAAAGAGAATTATCAAAATCTGTGCACTAGCATGGAGTTATGCCATAACACACATAAAAAACATATAGACAAATTGAGTACTTCTTTTGGAAAGTCGCTTAAAAAAATGTTTTATTATCAGGAAGGACTGGTGTATGCAGTGGAGTTCTCTCACCGCTCGGGGCGGGACCTCATCAATGTGGCCAAGAAGAGAACTAACATCATTCCCATCATTGAAGATGCGAGACATCCCCTCAAATACAGGTTAGATTCTTATTCATTCATTTAATTCAAACTACACAGTTTGATATAGATATAGATAGAGAATTTTGTAAATATATATTAACAGGTTACTCACAGTTAAATACTCCTTTTTTTATATTTTTATTATTTACTTTTATATTTATGACAATTCTATAAAATTATGCAATCACGATAACTATTTTTTTTTCCGTCAAGAAGGCAATCTTTGCAGATAAGGGTTAGGGATTTATTAACCTGACATAATAAATCTTTCCTGTAATTTATTGAGCTCTCTCTCATTCTATCTCTATCTCTCTCTCTCTCTCTCTCTTTCTATATCTATATCTCTCTATCTCTCTCTGTCTCTGTCTACCATCAACACTATGTCTGGATATTAACATCATTACTAACACTATTATCTTTCTGACATCAACACTACTCATCTCTGTCTACCCCTGTACAGTATATTAACTAAACCCGTGTACAGGATGCTGGTGGGGATGGTAGACACGATATTCGCTGACGTGGCGCAGCCGGACCAGGCTCGCATCGTCAGCCTCAACGCACAGCACTTCCTCAAGAACGGGGGACATTTTGTTATATCTATTAAGGTAACAATACTATTGTCTCTTTATTTGTATAAAATTGTAATTGATTTTTAAAAGGTTACTTTGATTGTGGTCAAAATCTCAATATTATTGTTGTAATTGGAGGAATATAGTTTTGTAAATACATTTGTAAATTTTAACAACAATCTAGTTATAATGTGAATAACTAGCTTTCGCCCCGACTCCGTCTGCGTAGAATTAAAAACAAAAGTGAGTAGCCTGTGTTCTTCCAGACTATTCTCTTCATCTATAATAAATTTCATATCTGTTCAGCAGATTAGGCTACAAACTCTAACAAGTATTTATCTAAACTTTCGCTTATAATATTAGTAAGTTAATCAAATTAAATTTTTATAACTGGCTTCTTATTTAATTAGAAGATAAATATTTTATATGAAATTCATTTCCCGTGATGAAAAAACATAAATCAATCTAAATCTTTCATGTTGAAAGAATTGAACTCTCTCACTGAGGTTATTATCTACTTACTAAAACCACTAAAACTAGTGATAAGCACTAATTCCTAGTATATTTTCAGGCATCCTGTATAGACTCGACCGCACAACCGGAGGCTGTGTTCGCAGCAGAAGTTAAAAAACTCCAAGCAGATAAATTGAAACCTCAAGAACAGTTGACTTTAGAACCTTATGAAAGAGATCATGCGGTTGTTGTAGGAGTTTTCAGACCACCGGCGAAAAAATCATAGAAATAACTGAAAATTTAACATAATTGTTAAAAATATATACTATTTTTTCAATAAACGACTAATTTCTCATAATTTTGGCTGTGCTAAAGGAATTTAGTACAAATTTTTGCGGCCAATTGCTAGAAACGATGTCTTTCAAATATGACTTCCGTGTTTGTTATTTTTGTAACCGATACCTCGGCCTAATAGTGCCTAAGATAAAATAAGTTAGTTATAAGTACAAATGTATGTTTGTGAAAGAAATATATGGTGCGATTGACAACTTGTTTTATTAAAACTTCCCAAAAGGTTCTCGATATAAACTAGCTGTTGCGACTTCGCCTGTGTAAATATAAATAGTTCCTATGTTCTCAGATTTACCTTTATAATGGTGAAAGAATTGAATTTGCCCAGTAATTTTTACTTAAATTAATTAGAAAAATAGGAATCTTTCTCATAATATAAGTATAGACCTATAAGGATCTTAAAACTAATAATGACAAGTTTTTTTCAGATTTATTAAAACCATAAAACATTTAGATTGAACAATAGTAAAATATCAATTATCTGCCCAAATTGAAATATGGGAGCTAAAGAACGATTTTACATTATTTTTGAGGTTCCTTTCCACAGAAATGCTGTAAAATCGAAAAAGAAAAACCATAACGTAACTAGGCTGGCAAATTGAAAAACAACAGTTTTTTTTAAACCTGCAGAAATACACAATAAGGAACTTGTTCCATACACAAAAAAATATGATGTCAAAAATACGCGAGTTTCTTTAGCTTGCATTTTGCAATTTGGGCTGATATTCGATGTTTTAGTGCCTGTCCCATTAAATTCTTGAAAATTATTGTTACAACATAATTAGTTTAAAATAAAGTTATCATTTATAGTTTTTTTAATAATTTCTTAAAGTTGCTATTACGACTTATTTTGAAAAAATCTAAAAATCATGATAACACGAGTTTTTTTTCCATAACGCATATGGGGTCAAAATTATTACAAATCACCCTTAGCGGGCATACGTCGAATTATTAATAACCCTGTATTTTTATTTTTCTGAAACTATTAAAATAACATTACCCTGTGTAGTGCCGCTCACTCATTATTATAGATTATTGAAATAACTTAAAAAACTACTGGTCCGGTTTTATAAATTCTTTCACCGTTAGAAAGGTAATTCATCTGTGAGTAACATAGGGTATATTTTTTCACGCGAAGTCACGAGCAACAGTAGGTTATATAAATAAAACTACACATAAAAATTCAACTTATATATTAGATAATGTCAATCAGACTCTATACTGTCCGAGTCCCCTCCGCCCGCCTCGCCCTCGCCGCCCTCCCCGCCCTCGCCCGCCTCCCAGGAGGGCAAACTGTCGTCGGACTGGTAATTTTCAGTTTCCATTTCCTCGCCAGACGAAGAATCTATAATAAAACAACATTTTAACTAAGTAAAGTCGCGGAAATACGCGGTAGTCTACTTTTAGAACAATTCCCTTGTTCTTTGCAAGAAAGACAAGAAATATTTAGACAAGGCAATAACATTTTTTCAGCGGTAATTTCTCCGACAGGTAATATATCAGTTGTCAAGTTTAGTTTTTATTCTGTGACGCTGTTTACTTTATTTTCTAACAGAAGCCGAAGCTTATTTTGTTAAATGTTTTATAACGTACTAGTGGCACTAAACTTACAAACATTTTTTTTATAACATAAGGTGGCAAACTAGCAAGCGGCCACTTGAATCCACCGAAATGGAAAGCGACCGCTGCCCATAGACGGAGGAGGAGACGCACATAAAGAGGTCATTTCCCTTTCCTATGGGTCTCCTCCACCTTCAAATCCACTTTTACTTCCCATCCTTTTCTCTAAGAAAAGGGTGGAAAGGGAAAGGGACTAAAATTAGGCCTCCGGTACAAAGTACCTTTCAAAGAAGTTACCGGTGAAAAATGTTGTTCAATATATCTATACTATTATAATAAAGCGTAAACACACACTTCTTTGTTGCCTAAGATGTCAGCAATTACAGCATACTTTTGAATAACTCTTTTTTTAATAAAAAGCCCTACACTAACATCACGCTTTAGGCTATATATTTTCATGCCATTAAACTTAGGGGGTAAATATTTGGGATAAAAACCCTAATGTGGGAATACCATAAGTTGCTGCCAACATCAAGAAAGTAAGATTGCAAGGTTTGTCATGTCATATCAGTTTGACATTTGCTATTGACATTTTGACAAATGTAAACAATAAAATATTTTTTTATATAATTTCATGCTGATGAAGCCGCATGGGAAAGCTAGTGTAGTAATATTTCTTAAATGTCTAGATTCTCTGATAGTACTTGGTTTCTTACCATCGTATTGCAGCACAGGTTCCTGGTCGATGTCCTCTTGGTCTGCGGAGCGCTGTGCTGTAGCCAGCTCTAGACGACCCTTCAAGTTTAGCAGCTGACAGAGATGGGAACGTCTGTGAATAATTATTTTATTTACTAGCTGTTGCTCGCGACTTCCCCCGCGTGAAATAAAAAGATAAAAAAAATATACCATAAATGTATTGCAATAATTAAATTTCATTTAAATTTATCCATGACTACCTGTTGCTCGCGACTTCGCTTGCGTGATTAAAATATATAGTCTATGTTACTCACAGATAAATTACCTTTCTAACGGTGAATTTTGAAAATCGGCCCAGTCGTTTTTGAGTTATTTCAATACATACGAAAATACAAATCTTTCCTCTTTATTATATCAGTTTTATAGTTTTATTTATTAATTTAAAACAATTAAAACTGGGGAAAATCTTTGTAAATCTTTACATTTGTTACTGTTTTTAATCATTTTTATGGAGTTTTAAAACGCAGCTAAGTTATTTCGGATGCCAATTTCCGTATGAACCTTTCATATGTTTTTTTAGCGTCTTTGGAACCAAATAAAACAAATCATGCATTTTTGAGATAAGAAAATGGTTGTCTTTAAAATAATTTGCCAGCCAAGTTTCATAACATTTTTTTTTGTTTATAATTTTTTTAGTTGAAAGGAATCTAAAAATGTTGTTGTGAAATGGTTCTTTTGATGTTTCTACAGTAGAACCTCGATAACTTAAAGGAAACACAAAGTTTAAGTTATAGAGGTTTTAAGTTATCAAGGGTCTATGTTATAGAAGTTTTGTGCTCTGATGGGAAGGGAATATATTATTTTTTGAAGTTGTAGAGGTTTTTAAGTTACCGAGGTTTGAGTTATCGAAGTTCTACTGTATATTGTCAAATAATCAGAATTATTTTTTCTGAAAAGTTGTTATTTTTGGTATAGGTGGTAAGTTGTAGTGTTGTACCTGTGTGTGAGCACGGCCAGCAGCTGCGCCAGCGGCGGCGGCGCAGCTGCCAGCAGCAGCGCGGAGTGCGCGCGCAGCGCTGCACTAGCCCACATACACGCTAGGGAACATCTGCAACAATAATTACTTATATTATACATACTACCTTTCGCCTGTGACTCCGTTCGCGTGGAATTAAAAAAATGTGTAGCCTATTTGTTCTTCCAGGCTATCCTCTACATCTATACCAAATTTCATCGAGATCTGTTTAACAGTTTACATTACTAACTCTAACAAACATCCATCCATCCAAACTTTTTCATTTACAATATTAGTATGAAGTATGATAATAAAATAGGAATATATCAAAATAAAAGTTCCAGATGACAGGAAGGTGATGTATTTGGTATATCGCAATCATATTTAAAAGTTTTTGTCTGACTGTCTGTCTATATGTCCGCTGGCCGCGTTTGTTCTGAGCAATCTCCGAAACGGCTGGGCCGATTTTAACGGGACTTTCATATTATATGCTACTTTTTTTCGCGCTGTTAAAATGGCGACTGGAGCGCTATCTCTGAAACGGGTGGACAGATTTGGACGGGACTTTGACTGGAAGATAGCTGGAAGAAAGATGCACGCGGGAGTGAAATAGATGACTTTTTTTTAAATCTGCGCTTACGAAGTTTGCAGGATATGCTCGTTTAACATATGTATGATGTTAGCGTGATAGAGGTGGCTTATTTAGTAAGATGATGGATTCAAAGCGTTAAAACGGAGTAGACAGTGTTAGAGACTGAGACAAAGTGGTATCGCTAAGAGAGTGAATAATGTTAGACTAAGTATTATCACAAAGAGGGTAGACAGTGACTGACTGGCTGGTCCTCCTGGCGGCCATGCCAGCGAGCTGGTCCAGCAGCAGCGGCAGACAGTCCGCTGGCAGGCGCGCGGTGGTGCGCAGCGCCGCGCCCGCCTCCTCGCGCTGCAGCACGCTCAGTATCATACTGAAATACAAATATTTTTTATATATATTATTGACTTACTGTTGCTTGCGACTTCGTCCGCACGGAAATAAAAATTAAAATAACCAGCCTATGTTACTCATTTATAACATACGAGCTGTTGCCCGCGACTTCGTCCGCATGGTATTAGAAAACATACGAACTATATAAATTACAAAAAGCTACGTATCCCGGGAACCGGACATTTCTCGGGGATGAAGCTTATCCCATGTGTACTCCAGACTTTGTTTTATATCTGTGCCAAATTTTAATAAGATATGTTGAACCGTTGCAGAATGATCGAGTAAACATTAAAAAACTGAATTAATGAATCCCACGGGAACCGTAACTATTCCCGGGATAAAAAGTACCCTAAGTGTTCTTCCAGACTATGCTCTAAACCTGTGCCAAATTTCATGGAGATCCGTTCAGCAGTTTAGGCTACAAACTCTAACAAACATCCATCCATCTAAGATCCATCAAGATTTGACTTATTTCAAAACATACAAAATTATATAGTACAAGGTGTTGCCTGCGACTTCGCGCGAAATTTATACTAAAAAGTATAGCCTATGTTACTCACTGATAACATAATTGTTTAATAAGGGAATAATTAGTTGAGTAGTTTTTGAGTTATTTTAATACTTACAAAAATACTTACCTATTATATAATTATCAAATACTAAAAAGTATAGCCTATGTTACTAAAACTGCTTTCTAGTAATGAAAGAACTTTTGAAATCCGTTTAAAAAAATAATGTAATGGGAACCATTATAAGCTCTTTGATGACTTTAGTACGGATTTGAAGTTAAATTTCAACACAATAAGCGGTGTGTTCCAAGTGAGATGCAGACGAGGTGACCCAAATGATTCCAGGAGAATGGGAACCCGTTGATACTTCT